GTGGAGTATGGGAATGGGATGAAGGATGGGCCGCATTCACGTGCATGCGGTCCCGAAATTAATTAATACGCGACTACACTGAACAAGTCCAAACTGGGTCTAATTAACTATTACGGAATAAATATCTTTCTCATAAGTTTATGATGATAAGATTTGGCCAGCTGGTCAACCAACAATGTTATCTACTGGCTTGAATTCAAGAAAAAGCATTACTTATATAAAATGTGAACGCTAGATGTTTTCTGACCTCGTGCGGAGACGCAAATACTACTATATATGAATTCTGATAGGATCCGTGAGAATTTGAGTGATATTAATATATTGGGTAAGTTGATTATGATGCACCAAACAGCCACCATAGAACGCTTTATGAGTACGCAATTAATGCAGAAATAAAGCCCCTTTTGTTCATTTTGTTTTCTTAGGAATATTATAACGATTTCATGACTCTAATCTCATGTGGGCCTCCCTGTACTGTAGCAGAAGAGAGTGTGATTGAGGGTGTATCCGATGATGTGCCGGTAACGCCTCCCTATTTTTTAAGTTATGAAGACAGATATAAGTATTAAAAGATTAGGGTGTTCATTGACGAGATTCTTTTCACAAAGAAGGAAAGAAGACACTAGACAAAAGACAAAACCAAGTTACAGAAAGATAGAATAATTGCAGGAGGAGTCAGAGGTTCAGCCTATTGTTGTCCAACCTTTTGAAATTTGTGACCAACCCTTTTGTTTATTTATTTTTAGTCCCCACTTTACTCTTTGCTGACTCATCCCTTCCCAAATTAATTTGCATTTTCGCCCCCAAATTAGTGTTTCATTTGGCCAGCTGGCTCGGATCCCGTCACCCCCAGTTCTCATCTCCCTCTCATTATCCTGCTTGAACCAGTCCAAGCTCTATGAGGTGAGAATGCGTTTACCCTCACCGCAGGTGACCGTGTTCAGCTCTAGTTTGAAAGATGGCGGGACGTGAGCACCGGTCCAACGGCTACTTTTGTTATGTCTCCTCCGTATACTTCAAAAGCTGACTCCTTTGTCTTTTCCCAAAATAACTTTTATCTTTACTCCCTCAAGAGCTCATTGAGGGGTTGTTTGGTTGTATGCTTTCATCACTTTACATTGTTTGTTTAAATTCTCTTTTACATGAAAAGCTTACATCTTTTGATGAGGTGTCACCGAAAGCAAAATCACCAAAATTAGGAGTGATTTTGTTGGAAAGCTGACACAATGTCATAAATGTGTCCAAAAAATAATAAAAAAGTCAAAACCTTGTAGAAAGTGGTGAGGTGGATAACCACTTTCTATTTTGTGTCATAAATCCTCTAGTTTACATTATACTATCCAAACAATGTAATAATACTATTATTTTAGGATTCACAAAGATTCATAACCAAACAATGTAAACACTCGAATGGAAAATGGTGAGGTGGATAACCACTTTCTATTTTGTGTCATAATTTGGTGCTCCTGTATACAAACCTCCTCATCCTCTTCGTCTCTAGCTCAAATTCAAACCATGAAGCCCAACAAAGCTCTCTCACTACTTCTCTTCTTCATTACCTTAACCCGATTTCGGCTAATCCTCTCGTTGACCCCTCCGTTCTCTTGTGACCCATCAAATTCACTAACAAAAACCCACTTGTTTTGCAACAGTGCATTGTCCATTAGCAAGAGAGCTGATGATCTCATCTCAAAACTATCTTTAGAGGAGAAGATAGCTCAGCTGGGCGATATCGCCCCTCCAATTGATCGGCTGGGGATTCCGGGCTACAAATGGTGGTCTGAGTCTCTTCACGGGGTGTCGAACTCCGGCAAGGGGATACATTTCAACGGAGCAATTCAATCTGCTACGAGTTTTCCTCAAGTTATTCTCACTGCTGCCTCTTTCAATCCCAAACTCTGGTACCAAATAGGCCAGGTATAACCATTTTGATGTCATGATGAAGTTCGAAGTTTGAAGTATCATGTAGGTTTCTTATGTAAGTTTTTCTTATGTAAGTTTAGACTTTAGTAGGACAAGAGTTTTGCTTACGAGTAAGCCCCATTTTAATAGAGCATCTCATTTATTTGTCTTTGGTATACTTTCCATCACATGGTTGCATCCATAGTTTGATCCTAGCCTAACCTTGGAGCTTATATCGTCTTATTTCATAGTAAAAGCTATTGAAATCACAATGTTGAAGTCACATAAACACAAGGACCAGCCAATTTCATGAACAGTGCATCACGCATTAGGGGGACACCTCACATGTCCCCTATTTGGGGGGCCCTGTAGCAGCACCCTAAAGTTTGAAGTCTATTTTAGACGCCACTATCCATTTAATAGAGCATTTAAAGCATACTTGAAACTAGTTTCAGTCTTTTGACTATGAGAATATAGTTCTAAGAGTTTGATCATGAACAAGAACTAGTTTCAACCTGAACATGAGAGTATAGTTCTAAGAGTTTGATCATGAACAAGAACTAGTTTCAATCTTTTGACTATGAGAATCAGCAGGACTAAGGAATTGTTACATTAATTGAAGGTTATTGGGACAGAAGCTAGGGCAATCTACAACGCAGGACAAGCCGAAGGGCTAACTTTCTGGTCGCCAAACATAAATATATTCAGAGACCCGAGATGGGGCAGAGGTCAAGAGACACCGGGAGAGGATCCTATGATGAGTGGAAAATATGCAATCTCCTATGTTAGGGGACTCCAGGGGAATTCCTACAATGGAAACAACTCTGAAGAGCTTAAGGTTTCAGCTTGCTGCAAGCACTTCACAGCTTACGACATGGACAATTGGAAGGGGAAAACTCGATACACGTTTAATGCGATGGTAAACTATTGATGAGATTGAATATATCGTTGATGGGGATTATAAGAATTGGTTGTTGGTTTTGGTTTCAGGTATCTGTACAGGATTTGGAGGATACTTATCAGCCTCCTTTTAGGAGTTGCATTCAAGAGGCTCAAGCTAGTGGAGTGATGTGCTCTTATAATCAAGTCAATGGAGTGCCCACTTGTGCTGATTACAATTTTCTAACCAAAACTGCAAGGGGTTCTTGGGGATTCTATGGGTAAATACAAAAAATATAAGCTCCCACTTGCAATGCTTTCTTTCAATTCAGATTTGGCTACATAGTGGAACTTTTAGTGGAAACTTTAGGTGTTACTGTCTCTAGGCAGACACATTACAAGTATCAACAACTACCAAGCACTAACATAATCCCTGTTTTTGTGATGGAAAAGATACATCACCTCAGACTGTGATGCAGTTTCCATCATCCATGATGCTCAGGGATATGCAAAGACGTCAGAAGATGCAGTTGCAGATGTTCTCAAAGCCGGTATGAAATGTTCAGATAGTGAATGCCTACTTCTATTGATAGAAGCTAATTGTTATTTTCTTGTCATATAAATTACATGATCTATCCAAATTTCAGGAATGGATGTGAATTGTGGTACCTATGTGCAAAAGTATGCTGCCTCAGCCGTACAACAAGGAAAACTTTCAGAATCAGACATTAACCGAGCACTTCACAACCTCTTCTCAATCAGAATGAGGCTCGGTCTCTTCAATGGCGACCCAAAAACTCATCTATATGGAAAGCTCTCTCCCGATCAAGTCTGCACAAAGAAGGCCAGGAATTTAGCCCTTGAAGCAGCGAAAGAAGGCATAGTCCTACTAAAGAACTCACCTAATCCCCTCCCTTTGACAAAATCGAAGATCACTTCCCTTGGTGTGATTGGCCCGAATGCAAACATTGTTATGTTAGGAAACTATGCAGGGCCTCCTTGCACTTCCATAACTCCTCTTCAAGCACTTCAGAGTAACGTTAAAAACACCAAATTTGTGCAAGGGTGTGAAAATGTGGCTTGTGCATCAGGCTCAATAGAAGAAGCTGTAAAGTTAGCCAAGTCAGTAGACCAAATTGTTATGTTCATGGGGTTAGATCTCACTCAAGAGAGGGAGGAACTCGATAGAGTGGATTTAGTGTTGCCCGGGATGCAGCAAACACTAATTACAGAGGTGGCCAAAGTAGCGAAGAAGCCGGTGATCTTGGTTCTACTGTGTGGTGGTCCTGTGGATGTTAGTTTTGCGAAGGATGATAAGAATATTGGGGGAATATTGTGGGCTGGTTATCCTGGTGAGGCTGGTGGACTGGCTATTGCTGATGTTATCTTTGGCAAACACAATCCAGGTGGAGTTTTCTTCTCAGTTTTTTTTGGTAGCCCTCGATGGTCAACAAGAAGCCAATATAACGATCATAGGAAGTTTATTTCATCAAATGAGTACAAATAGTAACTCCAACCCTCATGCATCACACTAACCATAAAACATAATGATGTGATAACAATTAAAAGTAAATTAAACTATGTCAGATAAAATTCAATGTGCCAAAGGCACATTGAAATTTATTCAACTTAGTTAAAGAAAGAACTGTAATAAATCTATAAGTAATCCAAACAAGTTGATCTATAAATTCACATGAACGGTTATCCAACTTATGGCTCTAAAGATGCATTTAATTTAATTTTCTAATTTACTATTAGTATTCTGAAATGCTAGGGCTCAAATCTTGAAAGTGAATTATGATTGCAGGGGGGAGATTACCAGTTACATGGTACCCGCAGGACTTCACAAAGGTCCCAATGACCGATATGAGGATGAGAGCTGACCCTGCCTCCGGATATCCAGGCAGAACCTATCGTTTCTTTACAGGCACTCCAGTCTTCAAATTTGGCTATGGCCTCAGCTACTCAACTTACTCTTACGAATTCACCTCAAGAACTCAGAGTTCCCTCTACATGAACAAAACAATCAGTCTCCAATCTGTCAAGGACTCACAAAACACCATCAGCTATGATATATCAGACTTGGGCACTGATGAATGTCAACAGCTTGCATTTCCTGCAGCATTGAGAGTAAGAAATCACGGGCCAATGCCCGGAAAGCATTCGGTGCTTCTTTTCTTAAAAAGAGCTAATGTTCATGGTGGAAGGCCAATGAAACAATTGATTGGGTTCGAGAGTGTAGACCTTGCTGCTGGAGAGAATACACATATCGAGTTTGCTTTGAGACCTTGTGAGCATTTGAGCAGGATTGGGGAAGATGGCAAGATGTTGATAGATGCAGAGTCTCATTTCTTGGTGGCGGGGGACGAAGAATTTGAATTTAACATATTGGGCTGAAGTTTGTTGGTTCAAAGTTTGAACATTTTGGCTCAAGGAGATGCACTTGGATTTTTCTTGAATAATGCAATCAAAGAGATTAATGTTTACTTCTATTAGAAATGGCCTTTGATGCAATTCCAGAATCCATTCATATTCATCCATTCTACATTTTTAAAATCTTTATTGAAATAATCTTTTATGATTTTTACAACTCGATATTGCAATGAACACCAAGTCACTGGTTCAGGCACGCCTCAGAAGTGCAATAAGGACGTCGCCAACCAAACTATAGGCTCCGTCAGTATTATAACAGCTGGAATTGTTGAATTCGTTTCTTATAAGACTTTCCAGGGACCATCCAGTCTTTGCAGTGAAGGTAGCATTAATCTGCCTAATATCAGTCCCTGCTCTCGTCACTACTATTCTTATCAGAGTCTCTTGGGCATTGCCAGTTTTAAGTGCTGCTCGCAGTTGCTTTGCAAATTGCTTCTCTGGGGACTGAATGCATCGGATTACAACACGAAGTTGTTTTCCAAACTCTCCACACCTGTCCTTCTTTAAGAACTTGATGAATTCATGCCCATAGAGTTGTTTGTAAGAGGAAAGGATTGATTTTATCTGACAAGTGCTTCTTTGACTCAGAATTGAAATGATGCTGTTTTGATCAACGTATTTGCCACTGCCAACAGCTTCATATAGTGTTTTTGCATCGCACATTGAGAGGCTCACATCGACTCTAGCAGTGCTGTAGTTGCTAGAATTAAGGACTGCTACAAGAATCTACAAAAGCCCGAATTTTTTTAAATGTCAGTCTGAGGTTCATGCAACAAAGTGCAATAACAATGATTATTACTATTATTTTGGTATATAGACCCCCTTAAATCATGTGTATTTGTAAAACTACCACTAAATCTCAGTATTTTGTAAAACTTCCCTCAAATCATCAACTTTGGAAAAAAATTATATACCCTCAAATCAACAAATCATCAATTTTGTTGGATATGGTATCTTGGCCAGTAAACTTTTGACTATTCTTTTTATATCGCAGTCACAAATTAGGCTATCCAAGTTGATAACTTATTAGAATGGGTTTTTTTCCCTTTCAAATTTGATGATTTGGGGGGTATTTTTTGCAAATACTAAGATTTTGGGGGTAGTTTTGCAAATATGCGTGATGTAAGGGTTATATCTACACATACCAAAAACCCTTATAGTTGATGTAAGAGTTACCTCTTTAAGAATACCGCTCATTTTGTATGAAATATCTTGCCTGAGATCAGCATTGTATCGTGAATGATAGGCTTCCTTAACAATTCTGAGGTCCGAAGAAGAACGGGTGCATATGATCTCAGTTAGTATGCTGAGATCCAAGCTTCTACCAGAGAATGTTCTTCTGATAATCTCAGCATCTCGGTTATGGGGTTCGCTCAGTTGAAGATATAACACCCTCTGCATAGAGTTTCTTAGTATCAAGAATATGTAAAAATTTGTATTTGTAACGCACTGAAGCCAGTTTTTAGAAACACTTAACTGTAAACAGATTGCTCTTTTGAGAGAGGAGCTGCAGGAGGTCTTGGTTATAGACAAAACTGTAAGTCTGACGAACAAACTTTAGCTCTTCAGTGTTTCTGTGGGCAATAATCTCTACAATTTTGCTTTGGTCACTTGATGAACCATTTCCTGTATTTTAGTTAAAAAAAATTTAGCTAAAATGAATAAAAGAATATCAAATCACCTTTAACTATGATAGTAAAAGACAATAGAATCATGTAATAGAACAAAACGATAATAGAATCATGTTGATAGAGAAAAACTATGATAGTAAATGATAATAGAATCATGTAATTTATGAATTTTATTTGGTTTATCTGTCAATGGATAGGTCCATCGTACTTCAGAAACTTCTATTTCATGACTTGTTTAGTGGACTATTTAGATATTTTGCTAACTTCAATATTCTTTGTTGACTCAAATCTTGTGTAAAATAACGAGCATCAATGAATCTTTCCAGTGCTTCAACTTTTAAGTGTGTGAAGGTAAGAATTAAGAGATCATATTGTGCAATACTGTGTGATATGATATTCGGTCTAAGCTTTTAGGAAATGACAACAATGACATCAAAATCATGCATTAGTATTCTGTTACATTAATGACTAAAACTTGATCAAAGTAACTGTGAATAAAGAAAATCACTAAACTAACGAGAGGAAGAGAATATAATGGCCCAAAACATGAAATAAAAGAACAATATCTCTAGTTTGACATTGAGTAATAATAGCTTTATTTTTATTTATATTTCAGTGAACTCTATCTCGATGAAATGCTCAAGATCGAATGACTTGCTGAATATCTGAAAACCAAAATCTTTACCATTAAGGAAACAATGGAGGTGATAGCAATCGGCTCCATATTTCTTGGAAAGGTTTTTCGTTTCCATGTCAAAGCTAAGCAAATTGAAAAGATTTTGAACTCTACCAGAGTCATTTTATAGGCAGCAATCTCCAATCTTGAACATTACGATTTCTCAAAAGCAAGACAAAAGGAGGATGGAGAATAAAAACAATCATTATCCTGCATGAAGAACATATCCTGGCTTCCAATTTCAACCATAATCTTCTAACAACACTTCACTTTCTCACAGACTTTGGTTTCGTTAATAATAGTATAGGTTTCTCAGCTAAAAAAAGAATATGCCATGCTGATATGTTCCCTTCTGACTCTATACTTTGAGGCAGACATACACAAAAAGAGAGACTTAGACTTCGTGTGCACGAGGGAAGCTAGTATGCAGTTTCCAGTGTAGAGAACCAATATCTCATAATGAAAAGACAACCGTCGAGCACTAATTTTTTGAGTTTTCATGGGACAGGGTATGTTCAAATACTTGTGGAATAAGATGATGTATGAATCAGACAATCCTAACTTTTCTTTTTGTTTGCCAGATAACAAAGTACCATTCTGATAAAGTCATCATATTCCTTACTCTTCTCACTTTTAGGGAACCGTTCACATTCTGTCCCAGAGTTGCAGGATATGTCAATGATGTACTTGCGTTTGATGCCTTCTAGGGACTCTTCTCAACTTCAGGCTTGATGGATACTGTATCTAAACAAAAGCAAAGGGAAAAGCATGCAAGCACATGGAAAAGGGCAGGTTCATAATTTTTACGGCGTATGTCCTCCTAAGGTGCTGTTTGGTTGACTGCAAGTTTAGTTGCAACGCAAGTGTTAGTTGCATGCAAATGCCGTTATTGTAAATAATGTCACATGTAGGTATAGTCACAATTTCCTGGTTCAGTTTTAAAACGTTGCAGTTTATAGCTATAGATATACTTGTTACCAGTTTTGCAGTATTATTGCCTTTTTTTTTTGATGTAGGCTGTGATTACAGTTATAATTTAAAGTCCCATTTGCAGATATATGCATAAGTAGTCAATTGCAATTGGACATCTTTTTGCAACTACAGTTTAACTGTATTTCAATTGCCGTGCTGACAGAAAATAACCCAATCACAGGCAGGCAGGTACAATTATAATCCCTACAGTTGAAGCAAACCAAACAGCTCCTAAATGGAAGAGGCTTCAGACAATAGCAGAAGCTGCAGCCACAGAATTTAAACCCAGATCTAATGAACCTGTGGGATTCATTTCCATGTATTACCAAATAATATTCATACATTGAACTGCATATTGCACAGAAAATCTCTCTTATTCAACATTAAAACAAGTGTATAAAATAAAAACTCCTTGCTACAGATGCTGCTGTTATTAACAGAATGAATATTGCAAGATAAGCAATTATTACATGCAATTCTTTGGGTAAGGAGCAGTGGCTCACTGTTACTTCCTTGTTCTGTCCGAAGGTGGCAATGACGAAACCAGGTTTTGCCTTCGCAGCCCACGTCAAAGCTGGCACAGTCACCTTTCTTATCCCATTGCTATGAAGATAGTCATCAAACTGGTGTGTATGAGCACCGAATACCATTCTGTAGAAAATTAGGAAACAACAATTACATATACTCTGCTGAGCTACGTATATGAAGACGCAAAGAGAACTGTACACAATTACAATATAGTTCAGGAAATATAATTTACTAGTTCTTTTTTTAAAATATAATTTACTAGTTCTTGAAGATGTAGAGTTGCACTGTCCAATTAAAGAACAGTTGTCATGCAAAACATGGGCTCTGCCAAAAGAAGGATATAAAAATGGCTCTAACGCCTCGTTTGGTACGTGGGAATGAAGACAAGTGAGAATGGAATGGAAGAAAGAATAGAATGGAATGTATGTGAAATTGGAATGGTCATTCCCATTCTTTTGTTTGGGTGCGTTTGTAGAATGAAGCTAGAATGAAAATCTAATTCACATTCTCATGTTTGGTATCACTAGTTCACAAGTGAGAATGGAATCTCATTTTCTAATAATGCCCTTATAACAACATAGATTTTTAATAAGATAAAAACAAACATTAATGATAATAACTAAAAAATTTATTTATGCATATGTTATATTAATCTAGGTATGTGTTATACTAATGCGCATGTTATCGATCAGGTGTATGTTTCGTTTATATTTTTTAAACAATTCTCACTATTTCTTCATATGTTATATTAATCTAGGTATGTGTTATAATAATGCCCTTATACCTCTATATGTAGTCTAGACATGATATGGTTTTGATAATTTTAATATTTTGGCTAATTTCTCAGCGAGAGTTTTCTCTTTTCATAAATATTGGGTCAAATATTTTTCAATCAAAAGTTAGATTTATTGTTGTGCATGAACCATAATCAAACATGTACGCAATTGGTACATATAGTTCTCTATGGTGGGAAAACAATAGCAAAAGTTCAAAAAGAATATAATATGCTGGTGAAAATAATAGACTTTAAACATTAGTAAATAAACAAAAAAATTTGATTGACCAAAAAAAAAATATTGACATGAAAGAATTTCAATCAGCAAATAATATATAGTTTCAGTTGTATCTGTTTTTATATTAAATTGTGTTGCTCCTATGTTGAACAATTGTGATATAAGAGGCTAATGAAATATGTACCGCTAGTTTTAATATGCTACTGAAATATGTACCACTAGTTTTAATCCTTACCCCGCAAAAAATTCCTATTGTTCCTGAAATATGTACCACTAGTTTTAATCCTTACCCCGCAAAAAATTCCTATTGTTCGAATATAATTAGTAGCTGAGAGAAAATGAGAATACGTAGTCAATGTTCGAATATAATTAGTAGCTGAGAGAAAATGAGAATACGTAGTCAAAAGCCATGATTTTTAAATTGATCTTTATTATTAATATGGGTATAATTGAAAAAAAAACCTAACTAATTTGATTCTCCCCTTGAATGGGAATGATCATTCCCTATCTTCTCACTTAGAATGCCCATTCTCACAAAAAGTGGGAATGGTCATTCCATGGGAATGGTCATTCCAACATCTAAAAACAAGTTTTGTTTGGTATGAGGGAATAAGAAGTGAGAATGGCATTCCATTCCACCTCATTCCCGCGTACCAAACAGGGCCTAAGTCATTACAAAAAAGGAACAAGTCAAGACCAGGGGCAGCAGTCATGTGAAGAATTGAGAGAGCAGTTCCTAGATGAGAACTAGCATAGAGATATGATACAGAAGCATTTGAAGGGAACTGTTTTTTGAGCAATCAAATCTTCACAGACTTGGATAAAGGCACACTGGGTGAAAATAATAGGGCACATATATGTTACCTAAGCCGTACCCATACCCAACACGTACCCGTACCTGTACCCAAACTCCTTGGACACAGTCCTTGCATAAATGCATACATTTATTCGGGCATGTACTCAACTATACAATACATGTTTTGTCATACATTTTTTGGATATATATCGTACACTTCACACCCACATCTGAAACTCGTTGGACATAGCTCATGTTACGAATTATGATTTTAAAGGGTCGTTTAGATGTCTAGTTCAAGTAAAAAGCTAGTGCTTTTCCAATTTATAATCCACATAATAGAAGAAACATAAAACTATTATAGGAGTTTTAATTCTCATCCTTGTTCTCATATAAATTATTAATTCAAATAGATAATATATGTGTATATAAATATTTATATAGCCATGTCCCTGTACCCTACCTTTTACAAATTTGTCGTGTCCCGTACCCGCACCCATACCGGCAGCCGTACCCATGCAACATAGAGGCACATCATGAACCCTCCGTATCCCGTTTGTGAAAAGACAGCTTGAAAATCCAAATCACCATAAGCTTAAAACTTAAAAGTACAACATAACTGAAACAGTTTTAATATCAGAAAAAAATTGCCATCACCTAACATGACTGGCTGGACCTTTGTAAAGGTACATCATCAGTTTCATAAAAGAAAAATAAAGTTTGAGATGATAATAGCAATCAAAAGGTCAGCATCTCATCCCAGAGCGTCTCAGACATGTGATGGTAAAAATTCATTCACTCTGAAATCAAATGACTAAATGCAATGAAAAGTTAAAAAATAAAAATTATAGACTTTGTTAAAATATATCTCAAATACTTGTTGTTAGTCAAAAGAGGAAGCAGACTTCACCAGCAAGAAAAGCACACACACTATTCACTGTTGACCATCTATTGTTTTCATAAAGATCAGCATAGAAGAACTATAAATTACTAGTAGGAATGTAAGAGATTCTAGAACTCAAACAACCTTAACTTGAGGGAGTGAAAGATATATTCTGTCACATTTGAGGGAGTGTCTGACTCAACTCATATGGCCCTGCACTACCACTGTAAAACAAACACTAAGCAGATCAACTCAAGGATCAAATGCATTGTCAATTTAAGCAGTAGATAATTTCAACAAAAGCACATGACACTATAATAAGAAGCAAATTGGATACCTTGCATTGTACATTTAATATACAAGAACTTAATTGCTTCTCGCTGGGCACAAATATGAAAATAAAAGTTTAATCAATTTCAGGAGGCAACAAAATAAGACCTTATATAAAAATCCAATGCATATCAGGAAATATGCATATGCCTAGCTGTGAAAAGTTAAGTATAAAGAGAACCTAACTACTCATTGAGAAGAAGATAGACTGTGCTGATCAACAATTATGACATGGAACGGAAACTAAAAGCAAAAGTAAAGTAAATCTATCCACCAAGCTTCAATTCATTTTGTTGAGACAAATCAAAAAAATATAATACTTCTACTTCGCTAAAATATACATCACATTGACATTCTTCAACATTTGTCCGTTCCAATTAGGGCTAGCTATTCTATGAAGTTCAATGTGGCACAGCCCATAATGACTTCAGATGCCAACTATGCAAACACTAATCAGACTTCAGATGCCAACTATGCAAACACTAATCAGCTAGCTGAAGCAATCTATACAAACAGCTTGAAAAGTCAGCTCCTTTCACATGTTTCTTTGATACAGAAACCGCTTGATGTCACCTAGATCAAGTGTCCTATTGATCAACTCCCTACAGCTGTTCAAACAATTTGTATGACACACGTCATTGTGATAACCAACTCGTCAATGGGGAGATACAACTCCATAAGTGAATATGTTCAGTCATTGCTTTCCTTTACAGGTGCTTCCACTTGTTTTCTAGGAGATAATGAATCTGAATCCAACTACTTAAGATTTTTGGAACCAGACTTGTGCACAATTTTGCATATATGTTAATTATTTGGGGCAATAATTTCTCTTCCTCTTAATTTGCATTAGTTGATTTTAGCCTACAGGGTCAATTTGCATTACCCTTGCTCTCCTATGCAAGCTGCATCCATTTTGCATGCTCCCCACTTTAACTACATTATGAACTACAGTTATATGATTGAACATCTTTATTTATCACTCACTATTACTCTAAAATTTCCCTCATGTACAGTACAGTTAACCATAAAGATCAATATTTCAGGAAAGTAATGTTATACAATGTTTATCCAATGAAATCATTGTTAAAGAAAATAACAATGTAGATTCTATTTATCAAAATCTAAACAGTGACCGCCATACAAAAAACATATAGTCTTAAGGGAACTTCTTCACTATCAAATTCGATCAATAAAGCATGCAGACAAGGATGTATTGCCCAAAATCCTAACCTGAAACGGGATGAGAGACAGCACTTATGCCTATCCTCACTTGACAATTTAATGCATAAATACACAATACACGGTATGTAGTAGGCTGCGGTACGAATGCGGGTACGCAATTCGCCACTTAGAGCAATGAATTCAAGGTGTTTGTTTTTTTTTTTGGGGGGGGGGGGGCGGATGTGGGGGGGGCGGGATCAAGAAAACAAATACAAATGATTTATGCATTTCATTTTCATACAAAATACCTTAAATATTATCCTTTTTATGGAGTTCTTTTTTCCTTTCTATTTTTCTTTTCACATTAATTCGTGTAGTTCGTGTAGCGGATCATTGGCTTTCATTTCACGTTTTGTTAACATAGGTATAGATATTTAGTTAGTTACAATAAAGTCATCGACTCATATTACTCTCTATTGTGCGCCCGCCCTCCCTTTCACTCAATTGCCCACCATGCCTGCCAGTAGGCGACTTGCACCACACCATACTTGTATAGCTGCGTTATGGCTAATTTGGGGAAACCAATTCGTGATTGGAGGGAATCGGCTCGCTCAAATGTACTAGAATTTGGTTTGTAAAAACGTTACAACGCGCTTTCTTTTTTTTTTTTTTTCGTTGGTGGTGCGGGGCGGGGGTGCCGGGTTCCAGAGAATCACGTAACTATGAATTAATGCAATAATAGAATCATGTCATCCCTCCATGAAGTTTGACAAATAATAGTAACTCAAGCACATATATCCGTTATATCGTTTAGAATAACTTTAGAAGGTAAGTAATGTATAGCTCAGATATAGATATAGATATAGATATATATTGGCCGGCAGACTGGAATGTATATTCCAAAGAAAGAAGCTTTATGTACCTCTCAATGATCGTTCTTGAACTCTCATAAGTGTGGCCAACAATAGTCTGCACCCCACAATAAGTGCGTCTTGTTGGTCCATGTAAGGGGAGGTGGAGTAGAACAACAGGCCCAGAACCAGGTGCCGCATCACTTGGTCTCCGGTCGGAGTTGCTGAAATCCACAC